TGCTATTTTCTTAACTGTCTCAAGGACGTTGTTATGTTGTATAAATAAACGAGAGTTGTATGCTTGATTGTACTGGATTGCTGGGTACTTGTGGAATATACTTTCTACGCTTACCAAGACTTCTGTTTTACCGTTGGGTTCAAGGTAGCCTTCCTGGAAGCTGGTAAAAGTATCGTTCGCGTTTATCGACTAAGGTAAACTCGTAATAGCATCAAGCATCCTAAGTGCCGAACATATCAGATTGAACATTAAGTTCATAACGAGTACGCTGGAAAACGAGTAACCATACGATTAAAATGTGTACAGATACACTTTTTCCCGAAAAGTGCAAGTTTCCGCATTATTTTTTTCAGACAGTATTAAAACACAATGAAGCCACGAATTCTTAATCATCATCCTGTGAAGCCTAAATCGATTAGACTTAAAGAATATGCAAACGTACGAACATATCTACTCCATCTCACTTTCAACTATGAAAGTCGATAATTCAAGTTCGAAAAACAAAATATTTACACAACATTAGCATCATGATATATATGAAGCATCAAATGAGTATTTATCTACTTCATATACATTTTGCATTGTCTGACTGAACATTCTTCATGACATAAACAAGAGAAAACTAGCGAATAACCATTTCGGTTTCATTTTATAATGTATTTGAGCATTTAAGTTTCACACAATAAACTAAACGAATATAAAGAATTATTACTAGGTCAAAGAAACACACAAGCATGTACTAAAATACTGAATAAAAAAATCAATGACATACTCTGATTTTCATGATGGATTTGAAACAAGTTCGAGGTGACGCGCTGGGATGCACGTGAATTGTCAGGAACAAAGCATGAGCTTTGAGACCAGTAACAACCTAATAAGATATAAATTTTATGAAACAGTTTACCGATAGTTGAGGTGCAGAAAAAAGGACATTTGCAGTTGCAAAATTCGACTTTCCGTGTTGGAAAATGAAATTTAAGTTGCAGGTAATGAGTATTGATAAGAGGCAAACATATGTCCCAATGTAACGATACATATAGAAGATGGATTCGCTATGCGTCCTTTCACGGTGCCTAAAGTAGAAGATAATGTGAATTTTTCTATCAACATACCTATTGTAGCATCTGTCTTCAACAGCATTATCATCAGATTTAAATACCCTCAAAAACTGTCGAATAACCTTCAACTTCTTAAACACTATAACGGTATCCAATGGCTGATGCCAATATGATTGAGACGATTTCTGCTATCTGACTTCTCAGTTTTCAAACGCAGACACATGTTATTGATAGTAATGACTGTTGATAGAAAAAATTCAGATCAATTCGATCGTCTTCTGCAGAAGGGAGATTCAGTGATTTTTCTTATCTCTACAAAGTTAGGCATCTCAGTGATGCGAAAATTTAAAGGAAGTCTGCACTTCTCAAGATCGATATCTTTAGAAGAAGGGGGAGCTTTTACTTGTATATACCACGAGTACTCAGTGAATAGTAAAAACTTATAATGATAGATTGTTGTTCTATCATTTGATATATCTTAATTTAGGCCTAGGAACGAAAAACACCATAATCAGTACAGAGTTTTTGGATATTGTAAAGGTCGCCTGAAATCACAACCTGATGGCGTAAATTGTATTTATTTACCTGTTCGACTGACATTCACGTTATCATGAGAGTCTATTAGTAAGTTGATATTTCTACATCAAAATCAGAATTTTCAATACCAGTATCTTGACAGTTCCATTTTGTAGCGTAAACACATAGAGAACCACAAAATCCATCATCCATCCCAAAAATACATGTGTTTATAAACCGTAGCCTGTTTAGGATCCAGACGCAAATAAGTTGACCTAACACCACTATTAACAACCTATGGTGAAAAAGAACAAAGCTACTTCTAGCTGAAGGGCAAATCAGAAAATGGCATTTAAGGTGAGTGGACAGCCAAGTTATTGCGAAAACCACAGAAATGCATCATGAGTTGGATTCTAACATGAAATCGTCAAGGTGAATGGAAACGCGGTAGACAACATATGTCGAAAATTGGAGACAGACATGCAACGAATGCATAGTGATTGAGACAAACTGGAGAGACGCACGGCAGATAGAGTAGTTGAAGAATGCGGGTTGGAGTGATTATGTTTCATAAAGGCTATCTATTACACCATGTGCAGTTTGCTTCTAGAAATCAAAATTTTAAGGTTTTTAATCAGTTAGTACATACTTTTCGTAGACCAGCTTTCCGAAATACTATATGTAAACCAACAACTGTTTGATAACGTTCTTAACTTCTGAATACACTGGTTCAAACCTACTTATCGACTGATAGTGATTCTCGCACTTAATAACTAAATGTTTTATCTATAAAATCTCTGTCTACCTCCACTGATTTTTAGTATTAACCCAGTTCATACACAGCAAGTCATATCGTTATATATCTGCGTTAATTAGACAAGCAATTATCACACTCAATTTTCCATTATGATCACTCATTTGAGTGAAAGAGAAATGTCTCCAACTTGTAAACCACTCAAAAGATCGAAATCAGTAAACCGTATGTCTGACGAATCTGTTGTTGAAAGAGGCACACCATCGACTTGTTAACACTTAACTCTTATCGATGAATTTCAGCATCGTTAGCCAACGATCTGTGTCACAACTCTCCATTATGTATACTGACCGACAAACTAGTAGATATAAAAGGTTCTATACCCAAGTATACCGAAACATCAACACAGAATAAACTTAAGTATAATCTTGTGGAGCCAAATTCTGGAAGTTCACAAACCAAGGTGTTGAATGGTGTATCTGAAACCGCTCATATTAGTCATAGCCACGGCAACGAGATACGACAGTTACAAAACTCACTTGCCCAAATTAATGATAAGATTAACCAATTAGCACCCACCACGCACATATGGGCCTCAAATAATGATAGGAACCTTGAGGAATTACCCAAAGCTGAATACATCCTTGAGTTTGCAGCCGAGGAAGCTACGAAAAGATTAATGTCTTCCTGCAGTGCGATTGTATATAATCTCCCTGACCGCACATCCCCGACCTGTCTACAAGCGTGTGATATGGCAAACGTCAGTTGTCAAGTCACACACCTCAGAAAAAAATCTGATAGATCGACTTGCCCAATTTCGTTCATATTTAGCTGCTCTAATAACGACAAACAATTTATCTGTTTGAGCGAAAATATTAGCTCGTCAACCCCGTGCAAAGACATAAAGGTTACTCCAGATCTAACGCCTAGTCAGCGTCGTATAAAAAGACGAAAGGCGACGAGATCGCACTACTGTTTCACAACAAACAATCTATTAGAGACAACTCCCAATTTCTTAAGTATAAATAAACCTATAAACAACCCAGTAGATCTTGATGAGTCTATGGACTCTAAATTTTGAAATAAATTACGAATCCCGGCTGTCATCGAAAAGTCTAAAAACACCTGTATTTCTAATCCAGGCTGTTCAAACGTTGAATCGCTTGATTATATCCTAAAAAGGAACACAATTCCAGCTAACATTACTAAATTGAAGACTAGATCTCCAAAATAAATTCCACGAGATTACGCGAAAGAAACTGAATTGTTTTCGAAAAACACGTCTGAGGAAACAACACACTCTCCATCTTCATCTAAGAAAGGTGAACAGACTAAGTCTTTGGTCTCATATAAAAATAGGTGGGATTCAAATCAGCCTGCCTGCAAATTTCCCAGCTACGATAAACAGGTTCACCCCTTCAATGTTCTGTGATGTGTCCTTAGCATATCAAAGTTTTAAGGTTGATGAGATTAAGAACATGTCAGACCAACATCCGATCATGCAAACATATTATCATTACCCAAGAGCTAGGTGCACTGCACAACCACCAAACCTAAGAGTTGTTAGTGACTGCTGAAGTAGAAGATTTTTCACTCCACACCCTATCTTTGATACCCAGGTTTTATTCGCAAAAACGCTAAGGATGAAAATCCGATGCATCCTACCGTACCAAGCTAGCTCGCAAACATGACCCCAAATTTAGAAAAAGTCTTAACAACTGGCACTTGTACAAGGCAAACCCTCGCCAAGTTAAAACCATTCCGAATAAATACAACCTCAGTATTGAGTTGTATCATCAAGACTATCCTAAAAACGGTGGTGCATTGCACTGCCAGCCTACTCAAATTTTTTTGGGTTAGAGACACTTGTGTTACCTCATGCGCGACATACAGATCAAGTCATTTCGTACCACATGCGGAGTATGAAAGCACTCCTCTCGCACAATCTCAAACTGGCGACGTTCTACCTCTTTCAGCTGGGCTAACAACCCCTCCTGTAAATTTCAGTAACTTAATAAGCATGGCACCCCCTAACTCCTCATACCACACCCACGTAGGTCATAGTAACTCCTTTACTCAAAATACCCTTAACTACTTTAGTTTAGTCGGACATCTGTTTAATATATATCTCATTACTGCTCGTTCGATCTGTAATAAAAAGACAGATCTAGTCATATTTGCGACTAGTTGTCAACCACCACTTATAATGATAACTGAGGCATGGACCTCCAGTATTATTTCTGATCTAACTATATCTATTGAGAACTATCACCTATTTCGAAGTGATAGGTTACAAGGACGAGGTGGAGGATGCTTCATATATGCCCACTCTACACCCGAATTCACTGTTATGTGATATATCGGAACTAAACAGATTGCCAGCTTCTGTGTGGATCGTTCTGAAACTGTCGTATGCAATTTCCTTACAGTTCGGCTGTGTCTACCATCAGCCTAACGCACCAACAGAAGATCTAGTATTATTGTCAGAAGTATTCACATTTGTTTCAGCTCTACTGTTTACAAGCACGGCTATTTGTGGGGACTTCAACGTGCCTGAAATCTGTTGGTTCTTAATCAAAGCACCTAAACGATTTGAATCATTTATCGAATGCTTAGAGCTTGGAGAGTGGACTCAACATGCTGACGGCTCAATCAGAAATCTAAATACATTGGATTGAGTTTTCACCAGAAATCTCATTCCTAATACTGTATATGTTGGAAAAACGTTCCCTGGTAGCAATCATAATATATACACCTGACCCAAATTTCTACCTGTGAAATCGCCGGTCTCGACTTTAGTGTACAGAACGTTTCTAACGTATAACCACAACAAATGTGGTATCATGCATTATAGTAAGAACCACCACGATATACTACTCTACCTACAAAAATGTAGGGTTCAGACACATATCTGCACGTGATCTGGTAGAAGGTCAACAACTGGAAAATCTTACGAGCTTAATGTTAACTCTAAGATGATGTCTAGGACAAAGTTAAACAAGAATGAAGAGAGTGGATAGATAGATAGTGGATCAAATGACAGACATCATTGGATGTAGAGAACTCAGATGACAGCTCGCCATAAGCTCTCACTCGACCAGTAGTTTTCGAGTAGAGTGCTTGTATAAGGTTAATGTACTTCTTTGGTACACCTTTCAATGACAGACACTGCCACAGAACCTCACGACCCACTGAGTCAAATGCCGCTTTTAGGTCCAGGAACACAACTATTATAAGACGCCTAAATGTGTGTCTGTGTTCCAGGACCTGTCGCAGTGTGAAGATGTAGTCTATACAACGACGTACAGGTCTGAAACCAGACTGGTATTCTCGAGTCTGCTCTTCACGAGCTCTAGTTAGAGGTCCAAGTATAATGGAGGCTTACAATTAAGAAACTATATTAGTTAGACTTATTCCCCTGTGGTTGTCACAAGAGGACTTTTATCCTTTCTTATAGATTGGGACAACTAGCGACTGAGACCAGTCAGATAATACATTCATACATCAGGTGAAAGAGAAAGAGTGAGCAACCTAACCTTTCATAAATCTTCACTGGGGACAAGTATGTTGGCTGTTCTCTAATCACAATCTCGCATTGCAGTCAATCAACAGAACTCCGTGAGACGTTGACTATCCTCTGAATGACGCCGTAGTTTCTAAGGATCCTTCATCGAGTCATCCTGTTTCCTAGAGGAAGCATGATAGAAACCCAGAAATCTGCGCTAGTTTCGTGTTTCAGTGAGATATATACACATTCTCAAGTGCAAGAATGCTTCAAATTGAATTCGAACTAAAACCACATGACCACTTCTATAACTAACAATTATGAATGATTAGTCACAGGT